TATTTATATTTATAATTACTCAAAATAATTTCTATTAAAAGTTTTTGACTAACATGAATTATTTTGTATTTACTCAAGTAAAATAAGACTTGATTTTAGTCAAGCACTACAAATATTATATTTTATATTAAATATATTTAACAACAGCCCAAAATTGTGCTTTATTGTTGATTGCTAATAGTCTAGAAATCATTGTATATATTATAGTATATCTAAAGCTTAGACCATTTGACCATGTGTAATCCCAAGTCATTCGAAACTTCCCACGCAGAGCGCGCGCGTCGATAAAGCAGTGTTCACAGTTCTCTTCCTGTTACGCGCTCTCTTACAGCTGAATATTCGCTCTTAGCGAGTGCTCAAGCTTTGTCTTATTGGTGATTGGAACTTTTGCAGTCGCATAAGAAAATCCAATGGCCACATCCCATTTTGTTTGCCTAGGATTCAATATAAAAATGTGATAATCCAGAAATGTCCAATTCCTCGAAAGGCAAAGAAGTTTCTTATTTAAATATTCAAACAGCTGCACAGCGCAAATGAATATATTTATTCATTTTAAATTCCAAACACTTGAAGCAGAAGCAACTTAAGCCCGATGCAAATGCGATTGAATTATGTACGCGAAAGCTCATAAAAAATTTGTCTGCAACATTTTTATTTATTACGGTAACTTTACAACTAGAAACAAAAAAAAAAACCAAAAAGAAATGAAAATGAAAATGAATATTTAAAAATTCAAATGCATTCTACGATTTTTTTCTTCTCATTTGCTAAAACAAATCTGTGGGGTTGTCAGAGTACGTTCGTAGGCAGATAGTCCTGAAGGCCAGGGCAATGGCAATGGTATTAAAAATATATTTATTCTACCTCTTCGCTCAGTTAATTGAATTGTGCTCGCAATTCAACGTCAAAAATTTTCCACTTTTTTTAACAAAAACAAAACAAAAATTTCATTGTTTGCATATTTAATAAAGCTAATCAAACACGTCGACTGACTACGCCCTGGCCAACCGAGTGTTGGTGCGAGGGGCGTGAGGGTTGTTCTATGATACCTTCTGAATAGGTAGTTCCGGCTCAGCAACAACGACAACGACAACAACAACAACAGCTGGTAATTTATTGCCAAGTACTCAAGGACGTGCACTCATAATAATAAAAAAAAATAAAAAAAAATATATATATATGTGCTGCAGGACTGTGAAAAACACAGCGGGAAACCGCGTGGCAGTCAAACTAATTTGTTGTCATTTTTATGCGACAAAAGTGAAAACAATAATAACAACAACAACATCAGCAGCAGCAGCAGCAAATTCATGGCATAAAGAGATCTGTGCAGCTGCCATGAATCCATTAGCATCTAACGGAAATATTCTTTTAGTTGTTCCAAGCAGAGCTACATGTTTCTGTTTAATAGGTGTGTAGTGCAAACAATCCAGATATATCAAAAAATAATTGTGGCAAGAATTTTATTCTGACTTATAGAGAAATAGTTTATTCAAGCAAGTTTTTGGCCTTTGAAAAAAATAGAGAGAATTTGATTTAAATTTATATCTAGATCAAATATAGTTGTCTATAAAAAAAAATTATACATAAAATATATAACAAATGTTTCATATTTTAAATTTAAAATAAAGAAATAAATAATAAATAATTATTAATTATATTATATTCAATTAATTCAATATATTTTAAATAACACTTAATTAAAAGATATATTAAATTAAAAATAAATTTGAAAAATTTTAAAAAGATTTGAAATTTTTTATATTAATTTATATATATAATAATAATTTATATATATATAATAATAATGATATATATAATAACAATGATTTATTTATTTAATATATATATTTATATTTCATATTTAATTTACTTAAATAATATATATTATAATAATATACATTAAATTAAAAATAAATTTAAAAAAATTTAAAAAGATTTGAAATTTTTTATATTAATTTATATATATAATAATAATTTTTATATATATAATAATAATAATAATATATACAATAAAAATGATTTATTTATTTAATATATATATCTATATTTCATATTTAATTTACTTAAAAAAATTAAACTATATATAAACTTTAAAGAAATAGTAAGATTAAATTTGATAAAAAGTCACCGTAGAAAAAAACACCTCAAAAAAGATATATCAAAATTTTAAAACTATTTCTAAAAAACGCAAAGCACAGGCTTTAAGGCATCTCCTTGGCGTTGACTTTGGACTAGATTTCCTTATTTGATTTTAGCTTAATTTAATTCAATATATTTACAAAATATTCAAAGAATTTGATTTGTATTCATACGATTTTTCATTATGTTCTGTTAAGGGTTTTTCTTCAACAAATGTGTGAATTTAAAGTTGTGAATTTAAATAGCTCATCTTAATGTTGGCTTTCAACTGCATTGAAATTAATATAAAGACATTAATAAAGAACTATTCCTATATTTAAGCATATTTTTAAAATCCAACCAGTGTCTGCAAATATATTTATCTTAACTGTCTGTTTGGTGGGCTTGATTGCCACTTCGCCCCTGCTGTATAGGTCACATGAAAATGCTTAACCGATGCTTATCCCAATTAAAGGAAATCAACTGAAAAACTGCAACCGCAAAAGCCGAAGTCAACAAATGCTCGCAATTAGCGCGCCGCACAAATTTTGAGTGTGTTTACAATCGACGGAGTGGGAGGGCAGAGCTATGTGATGATGATGATGCAGGTATGGGTATGGTCTGGGAGGGGGCAGGCCGAAGCAGCCCTTGCCCGGATCTGGCCGGCATAGCGCGCATATGGAAGGAAATTGATGATGTGAGCAAGTGGCACGTAATCAATTTGGCAGCGCCTCATTTCAAATGCGAATTTAAGATGCCATTGTTGCAGTCGCCCCGGCAATCGCATCCCCTCGACTTGCCGAGCTGCGGAGCTGCCAAGCTGAAGCCGGGGGTGAGTTGTCCAATCGGTCGCATTGTTACAGAATGTTCATAAATATCTGCAACATATGCGCAACAAAACGCAGCGAGACTCCAATTGGAAAGCAACTTGCAACAGCATCAAGACATGATGATGAGCCCGGCTTCCATTCCATTCAATTTTCTCATGCTGAAACTTTAAATTTTCCGTAGCTGCAAAGACCTGGAACATTCATTTCATTTGGAATATTGTAAGTCGGCTGTCTTTTATGTTCCTAATGTCACATAAACAGTGCTTAATAATGCACTAACCTTCGCGTATCTTCACTAACCAAATAAACCGACAAGCCGAGCCCCCACACACATGCAAACAGCAGAGCGTTGGGAGCGGATCTGAAATTGGGAATTGGGTTTGGGTTAAGACTGCCTCGTCGACAATGATTAATATTTAATTCGTGTGCGTTTGGATATTTTTCCACTTTGTATTTTGGGCAAATTTAATGGCTGACAGAAGACAGAAAACAGAAAACAGAAGAGTGAAGATAGAAAGTGGAATGGAGCAGGGAGATGAAGCTGGCGCTCGGCTGCTGCCAGGTTCCATTCACTTTGTGTTCGCCTTTGTTGTGATGCAAAATTTGAGTTGGAACAAATTTGACTGCGACCTTTGGGAGACCAGAGTGTTTACCTTCACCTGTTTACCTTTACATGTGTCTTACCCATTTTAGGCTATTGAAATATTCCGTTTGACCTGTAAACCAAACAGCCCAACATATATTTAGCTGCCAGTTGCATGTGAGCATCAGAAACTGGCAGTTAGACATCTCTCTCTCTCTCTCTATCTCCCTCTCTCTTTGTCTTAATCACTGCTTTCATTATTTTTGCCGACTTGCTGATTCCGTACAATTGCCGACGATTACAACGCTCGTTGGACGAGCAACAAAAAATAAGAGAGAAACTCAAACTCCCCCAGAGTGCAATTAGGAAGCGAACTATAAAATTTCAGTGTTTGTCTTGGCAGATACTTTCGCACAGATATCTATGCTATGCTCAAAGCCAAACACATATCGCAGCGACACCCCCCGGCAGCACAGCACCACCTCCTCCTGCTCCACAGCCGCCCTCAATGCCGCATTGGGCAATTGCCCCGTACGCATAATTGGCCTTCTGTGACCCCAGCTCGCTTTTCTGACACTTTAATGAGCTGTCGACGTTTGTTCCTTTAACCAGCATCATCTTGATACGACCTTACGATTGTGCGCAGCGACAGCAGTGGATCAAATGTGTAAAGTGTTTCGTAACCGCAAATGCCCACTCATATAGCCATATAGTGATATAGTAGCTATATAGAGAAATAGAGACAGAGAGAGAGAGAGAGAGAGAGAGAGAGGGCGAGCGTGGGAGTGAGGGAGCGACCGAAAGCTCCAGAGAGCATCAGCGAAAGATAGAAAGCTAGAGAGGTAGATGTACAGAGAGATACAGAGAGATAGAGAGAGACGTAGAGAGGCAGAGAGACTGAGAATGAAAGAGCAAGAGACTTAGATAGATTACTTACAATGAGTGCGTACAAATGATAGAGACTAAGAGAGATATAAAGGGGGAAAAAAGACAGACAGAGAAATAGATAGAGACTCGCAGAGAGAGAGAATGAAAGACAGATGTATAGACAAAGATAGAGAATGAGAGCATAAGGAGAGAGGGAGAAAGAGAGACAGAGATAGAAAGATAGAAAAACTGAGAAAGAGAGGAAAGAAGGCAAAGAGAAGAGGAGGGGAGATAGAGAGAGAGATAGAGAGAGACAGACACAGAAAGATGGAAAGAGAGAGAGAGAGGGGGAAGAAGACTGAGAGAGAATAGAAGGGGGGATAGAGACAGAGAGAGAGAGATGGGAGCATACGAGTGGAACAGTGAGATATAGAAAGATAGATAAAGTAAGAAAAATAGATACAGAGACATAGACAGAGATTCAGAGAGATATACTCAGAATAAAAGACAGAAGTATAGACATAAATAGAGAGAATGAGAGCACAAGAAAGATATAAGATTGATAGAGTAAGCAAGAGAAGAAGCGAGCTTAAGGGTGGAGAGAGAGTTCTTTAGTTCTGGTTAGATTAATTAAGATACATTATATACACCATTAATAATTACTTCATTATAGTGTAATACTAATTTTTATCATAGTTAAGTTGTGTCAGGAATAGGCCATGCATATATAGTGAATGATTTGAGGAACATACTTCAAACGCATTACCAAGTCACCAAATGAAATGCAATCCAATGCGACCGATTTTTAAGCAGGATATATATATATATAATTTTGATCGGACTACGGGCTTTTCACAAACTCAGTGATGACGGCATCGGCCATACGATGCAGTGTTTCTTGCACCAAATCCCAGTCCTTCTCCTCGGGCAGTCCAAACATTTCGGCGTAGTAGCGCAGCCTAGGCTCCGTGCTGCTGGAGCGGAATGTGAAGATCATTCCGTTGTTGAAGGTAAACGTGATCAGTTGTCGACTGGGGCTGACTCTCAGACGGGGCTTGTTGTCGGCATATGCCGTGTCCACACCCAGAGTCAGATCCCGCACATATCGCACCTCGAACTCGCCGTTCAGAATGCACTTGGGATAGGTGCCATAAACATTATCCTGAAAGCTACGCATGTGATCACAGACGGCGGCAATCTCGTCCGTATTGTTAAACGGTATTGAGTTGACAATGCTGCAATGAAAGCCATATGTATCATAAATTTCGCGCAACTTTTCGATGAGTGTCAAGTTGCGAGTGCTCCGCAGATAGCAGGCCATTGTGGCCACCTGGCAGGCGGCACTGATGCCATCTTTATCTGGCACTTGCACGTCTAGCATGAAGCCGATCGGCTCTTCGCAGGCGATGAGAATCGTTTTCCCAATGGCCGACAGCTCCAAGGCCTTATTGGCCAACCACTTGAAGCCCACCAGAGTCTCGACAAATGTGAAGCCCTCCGCTCTGGCCATGGCGCTCAGGATCTTTGAGCTACCCACGCTGGATATCATGACACAGTTCGACAAATTGGGCTTCGAGGTTCTTGTCCTATAATTCTCCAATGCCCACCAGCCAAGTAGAGCGACCAGCTCGTCGCCAGTGAATTTCTTCCATCTGCCTTTGGGATCGAGTTCAGCCACAGCCAAGCGATCCGCATCAGGATCGTTGGCCAGAATGATGGTGCAATGTTCTTCCTCCGCCTTTTTCATTGCCAAATTCAGGCAGCCCAGGCCATCTTTAAGAGAGAGAGACCGGCAAGTAAATTAGTTTGCCTAGCGATAGTCAATATACTTTTACCTAGCGGACTTGGAAAATGAACAGTGGGAAACTCGGGATCTGGATCCTTCTGCTGTAGCACTACAATGACGGGCTTAAGTCGTGCCTGATAGAACGCCTCACGGATGTAGTGGAAGCCAACGCCGTGGAGGGGTGTGTAGACGAAGCGTAGCTGACTGCATTCGTTAGTCTCAATGAATGTTAAGGGTAGCAGGGTCTTCATCTGCTCAAAGTAAGCCGCATAGACCTCGCGGAATGGCTCGCTTAAGAGTGGGTTGTCATCAAGTACGGAGAGGTCCCAAGATGATGGCAGCGGCTCCAAGTGTCGCAGAATCGATGCCTGTAAGTGCGAATCATTTGGAGTTAATATGGCCGCTCCGTTATCGAGATAGATCTTAAAGCCGTTGTCTGTCTTCGGATTATGCGATGCTGTCACCGCCACTCCGGCCAGGCACTTCAGATGGACCACGCCGAACGCTATAAACGGCGTGGGCACCGTTCGATTGAATAGGTACACTCGAAAGTTACTGTTCAAGAACACGGCTGATATCAGCTGCGTGAAGCGTTTGCCATTGTAGCGTGCATCGTGCCCAATGATCACGCCCTGAGTCGTGCGCTTCTTGACACTGGGATACAAGTCCAGCAAATAGTTGCTAAGGCCCTGGGCCATTTGAATTGTGACCAGATCGTTGATTGAATCGAAGCCGGCACGCATTCCGGATCTCATGCCGCCCGAGCCGAAGCCACAGCGATGGCAGAGTCGCACCCGCAGCGCCTCCCAGTCCTTGTCCTTGATGGCCTCGACCACCTGCTGTATTGTGGCCGCATTCCTGTCCCACAGAATCCAGTTCCTGATCTGCTGGTCGAGATCTTCCTCTCCGGACAGGTTCAAAGTGTCAAGCAGCTCCGCCCCCGTTGTTGGAATATTTGGTGCTAGCATTCTAAATTTGGATATAAAATATAAAAAAACTACAAAAAAATTCTAAATCTGAAAGCTGCCACTAACTCAACTGAGTTTCTATTTCAACGCTAGCTTCCATTTGCATAGCCCGGCCACGTTCGAGTTGACCAATTGAAAATTTATGTGAAGCTCCACTCGTTTTACGACCATCAAATACGGCCCCAGGGACACGCCGACGTTTGGGCTAAGCACTGACAACCACAAATTGATCCATTGGCAATTTGATTTTGGCTGCTTGATGAATTTATGGCCAGCCACGACAATCGCCCAGCACATTTAAGATATTGCAGCAGCAGCCAAAGGATTTCCATGCTGCAATAAATTTCTATATATTTTTTTATCCCCATCCAGCCACCCAGCCCAGCTCCATCTGTGTGTGGAAGCATTAACATGATTTCAATTTGTCATCAATTATGCAAAGCGGGTCTGGAGCCCCCAACCAGAGCCCATTAACCGTTCAAGTTACGTGCTGCAAACTTGGCATTTCCACATTCGGAGTGTGAGTAATTTGCAACGGTAATTGGGTTACACAGGCGCATGCAACATTTATCAGGCAGGTAACCCCACGACGGGGCATTAGACACGCCCCGCCTCTCGAACCTCCTTCACTCTTGTTTGTTTTGGCACTGTATGCTGTTCCGATCCTGCAACAACGCCCGCCCCAGCCCCGTCAACACGCACTGTGACACGTCTATTGCATTCTAAACATTCAGCGCAATGGCTTTTTGGCTGGAGCACAGCCACAACTCATCGGAATGCAGTCGCAGTCGCAGTCGCTGTCGCCGTCGCCGTCGCTGTCGCAGTCTGAGTCGCACTCTCTGTCGCTGGCACAGAATTAGTTAGGAGCACACAAAATGCATTTCGCGTCAAATTGTCAAAGTGTTAATTAAAAATGGACACTCGAATAGGCAGGCAGCATAGACACATACTGCCACGCCCACATTTGTTATGCCTGCTGCGGCCTTTCAAGCTGACCTCTCCATGGCCATTTCCCTTACCTTGCCTAAGCCTTAACATAAATTGCAGCATAACTTTAAGCTGAGAATAAAAAATATACTTGAAGAATTGTGTAGAAAATGTTTCAAAATTATATCTGGCGAGTGCTTCATGAAGAATAAGTATAATGAATGATATATATATTATGAGCCAAAGAGTCTATCAATTGTATACGACGAACTATTCCTGCTAGCAGAAGCAGCCTTTGGCATTAAATGACAAGCTAAAGAGTCGCCTAGAGACTACAGATGTACCTCTGGTATTCCATTAAGTTTACCTATAGAAAAATCTACAACTCAAATGCTCAGGTAGATAGTAATAGAGAGTTCTGAATTTTCTAAATTTGGTTGACTTGAGCAAGAATTTCATAAGAAAGTCCAATGCAATTCAAGTGTCTTAGCAGCTAAGTAGATCGATTAAGACAATTATTATTATTTAGCCTTACTCTAAATTGGTTCATTGAATTCAAGGCTAAACGAAAATTTTAATCTTTGGCTACGATAATTATCATAGTATTTAAAAAGTAGAAACGACTTGTCTTAACTCTTGTGAGTCTTAAAGTACAGATATTCGAGTAAGTCTTAAGTTTCTCATATATGCCGATAGCGTCTGTTTCAGGCTGACTGCCCATCCCCAGGCATGTGTCTGATAACACTTAATAAAGGTAAGTTATGACTCAGGTAATGCTTTCATCTGCCTTTCCGTTGCTTCAGAGCGCTAACTATTGACTGCAATACTCTCTTCTATATATATGCGTTTGCTACACTTGTTTAGCATTGGCTTTTCTCATGTTAATCCGATTGATAAGAAATCGATATATATCGATTTTGCTACCATATTTTACTACACATCTAAAAACGCAGCTTGCTGCTGAACTGTGTAATTCGCTTGGAAAATGTTAAATGTTAACTTTAAATATTTCGGCTAGGTAATGAATGAGACTTACGCCAAAATAGGTGGAAAGAGTGCTAATACTTAGTGACTTAAAAAGAGTGACGAGTGAAGGGAAGAGTGAAGAGGGAAAGAAAGGGTATATATAATAGCCCATGCACACTTATTAAGTGAGTTGAAATGTGAATAGGAGTAGTAAAAGGTGTGTACAGCATTTGATAGCCAATGCACACTTTTCAGGTGAATAGTGAAGAGTAACAGGTGAGTGCAGGGTATATGCTCATAGAGCAATCTTTAGCAGCAAAAAGTTATCAGTGATAGCTTGGCCTATAGTTTTTATACTCTGGGAAAATTCTTGCTACCTGATAGCTCGCTCTCTAAGCAGCTACCTTATGCAGGCATTACACTATTCCCCTTTACATTTAAGATACTTTTCTTCAACTAGGTTCAGGTTTATAGACTATGCTCACTATTCCAATTCAAATTCCTCCAAACTGCTTTATGGCTTTATCTATTGCTGGTGCTTTGCTTAATTTTCCAATTTGCATAGAAAATAGCTAAGCAATTTATTTGTTTTCTGGTTGGTTGTTGTTGTTGTTCTGGGCCGTGCCATAAAATCTTTTCCTGCGGCAACAAATATTGGGTGTTTACGGCGTATGTTCTACGGCTGTGCGCATTTATGCACTTGTGCTTTGCATAATTTTAATCGCTGTGATCTGTCGAGAGTGTGGGACTGGGAACTCGAGATTATGGGGAATGGGCGTTTGCCCGGCCTATATAATCGGCGTTGATTCCCTTTGTTTTGGGACAAGCGAACTGCAAAATTGGCGCTGTGTGAATCTTTTATGGCACCCCCGAGTGCCCTCCGCTCGACTCGTAAGCATGTGAGTCCAATATCTAAGGCTATCAAACCTATTAAAATGCTAATTTAGACATTTGAGCAGCCGCAGCAAGTTGTTCCGCACTTTTTATTTTGCTCGCCTTAAAGATGCTTTTCAAATAAATTGTGAAAAAATGAAATCTGTCAGAGCTGCGTCTGCTGTCATTCAGCAGTCAATTGCAACGGCGCAGGCAAAGGCACCTGCCTGCTAGAATCCATTAAATTAAAACCAAATCATTCATCCCATCTCGGCAGCCTCTCAAATTGACTTTGACACTTATGTTGGACACTTTTGCGCCTCAGCTGAAAAGTGGCTTTTAATGTCTGGCACGAGGACATTTAAGAGCCGCATGACAAATGCGAAATACATGCAAATGGCCCGAGCTGAACTTTTAGCTAAATCTAATTCGATAGGGTATTAATCAGAAGCTCTCAGCTGTCCGCATTTCAGTTTCACTTTCGGAAAATAGTTTGGCTGGGCAAAAATATAAATTTGCGTAATTTGTTTATGTGGCTTTTCATATTTTCAATTTGAGTGCTCGCATTTGTTTGGCCGACCCCCGTTTCCGAATGGCAAAATGTGAAAATGAAATTTACATCATTTGTTTATTTGTATCGCTCATGTCCTGTGGTCTTGCCACACCAAAAAAAAAAAAAAGCAAAAAGAAAAACAAGAAAAACATGTCCTTGGGGGAAACCTGCACAGCACAGTCGCAGCAATTCATTTTTTACATTTTTATTTTACCAAAGTCGAGAGGCTGCCGTAGCAGCAAGCACATCGCAAATTTGATTACCGCCCAACAAAAATGTTTGCATATATATTTTATTTTTGCCAGCACTCTGGGTATTTTCTGTGCCATCTTTGACCGTCTTGCTGGCGTCTGGCATATACTTTTAAATTAACGCATTATGTTTATGTATTAGATGCAAATACAAATGCCCAGTCGCATGGCCCAAGGACCTTCACACATCGCTAACCAAAGGGTCAGAAATCCAATTTGAGAAAATTTTTCATAAAGCTTTGCCCTTTTCATACCCTATAGAAGAGCCATGAAAAGTGTGATACAAATGCAAAAGCTTTCAGAAATATTTGATTCTAGAATATGGAAAACTTTAGAAAAATATGTATTTATATATTGAGGGAAGTCCTAAATTTATAAAAAATTATAAATATATTTAAATATATTAATTATGAAAATTCTTAAGAAAATAGATTCTAGAGTAGATAAAAATATAGAAGAATGTCGATATATATTTATATATACATATATATATCTATATAAGGGGAAATCCTAGATTCTAGTGTGTTAAAATTTATAAAAAATTATAAATTTATTTTTAGATATATAAATTAAGAAAAGTCTTTAAAAACTATATTCTAGAATAGATATTTATATATATATATTTATATATTATATGTACATATATAAGGGGAAGTCCTAAATTTTAGAGTGTGTAAAAATGTATAAAAAATTATAAATATATTCTTAGAATATATATATTCAGAAAAGTCTTTAAAAACTATATTCTAGAGTAGATAAAAATGTAGATAAATTTAGATATATTTATATATATATATATATCTATATTAGTGGAAGTCCTCGATTTTGGAGTGTGTCAAAATGTATAAAGAATTATAAATAAATTTTAAGATGTATAAATTAAGAAAAATCTTAAAAACATAGAATCTAGAGTACGTAAAATTATATAAAAATATGTATATAAATTTTTATAATTTATATATTAGGCTATGTCCTAAAGAAGTCAGAAGAATTTCAAGAGTATCTAGTCAAATCTAATCTAGCTTTGCTTACACAAATTTTTCTGCTTGCTTGTTTTACAGGGTATCGTATAGTTCTATCTATTTACACTGCGCTTTGCCACACATTCATAAAAATCTTATATGGGAAATCTAAAGAACAAACATTTTTATTGCACATCAAATTTGCTCCACGTCTGCGGCTCAGTCGTCTGTGCAGTTGGCAGAGAGCAGGAGGAACGGCACAGCCAGCCTCGACAATCAAGTGAAGGCTCACAGAATGCGAAATACTTTTGATTTCATTCCGCAACAACGACGAACACTTGGCCAGGACGTGGACCAAAACAGTCCTAGGACTAGGACTAGGACTCGCACAAGCAGCAGACTCCCACACACTCGTGTCTAATTGGAAACGGGCGAGCTTTGATTGCTTGGGCAGGCAACATGCGAAGATTATGGCAGCTCATAAGCGGTTTGGCAATCACCATTAGAATTGGCCTG